CTTTCAAGAATGTAGCCGTGCATGAAAATAACAAGATTGCTCAATGTAGGACAGCGGCATGGCCGGAAATATGAAATGCAGAATGGCTGCAAGGATTTCCTCTCATGTCAGCCCCCTTAAGAAAGCTCCTCACATAAAGTCAGCAACCAGCTGATGACAGACATGAAGGTTCTTCAACGAGACACTAGGCCTGAGAGAAAAATAGATACAGCATGTAGAGGTGCTTCGTTTGTGTGAGACAGGAGGAAGTATCCAGGGTTTCTGGAACACTGGGAACTAAAGCCATCCAACTGACCTGGAGCCTCTACTTAAAGCTGTCCCCCACCTTTGCTGTGTCTGCTAACGTGAGCAAGACTTCAGGAGCATGAATGGCATTTTACCGTCAAAAGGAAGTCCCTTGCTAAAACCAGACTGTCCAACCTGTTTTGTTTTTTTATTCTGAAATGCAATGGGCCATCATTAGAGCAGTTCAATCCACATCAATATGTAAAGTCATGGCTGGTGAATGGAAGGTCTGCAGATGAAACGGTATGCAAAGCCCCTCATGATTCAAGCACAGCTGACCCTAAGACCTGCCTGAACCTTTTTTAAGTGGGTTAACATCTAATTTCTGATGGATATCACATTGTCTTGTAATATTGTGCATGCAGAATCATTTTCAAAATAATTTTTAATATTTCTCTTTAGGCTTTTTTTTTTGTTTACCTCTGTTAGCTTTGGCTGTGAGTATTTGCCAAAAATGCCTGATGTGTTTCATTATTCATAGGTGTAATAGGTGTCAAGTGATGCTGAATTCATTTACTGTTTAATGTGATATCCTCGCTGAATTCAACACCACATTCATAGCTAACTCGCTTTCTGTCTCTGCCAGGCAAAGGCAAGGAGAGATGCTGATGAAACAGCAGTCACAGAACCTGACAAATGAGTTTTAAACCCCAGAACATACGGGTGCCACTTCTGCCTAGTGCTTGCTGAATTTAAGCTAAAATTAAATATTCAATCAGATAAAACAACCTAAGTGTCTTAGCACTCTTTTCCTCCTCTATCTGTTCATCCTGTTGTGTGTGTGTGTGTCCGTAACAGAGTGCCAGTCTGATAGCAAGATACTACCACATGCCTCCTCTGATAGATGTGGAGTCACCTTGTTTTCTTCGCCCCCCCTAGCCGAGTTCTCCTTTTGTAGGTCTGATGACTTCATTGCACCACACACCAAAGCTAGCGTAGATAGCCTGAAGGACAGCCAGACATAAGAGCATGGTGATGCAGAGGTGCTTTGTTTGTGTGACACACTAAAAGTCGAGAAGAGAAAGTATCCAGGGACTTCGCCTGGAACATAAGGAACTAAGGGCAGCCAAGACTTTACTGCACATAGTCAATTATTTTTTGCTCTAACGACTTAAACGCTTGTCCTCTTGGTTAAATGGATTTATGTTGTGAACGTCAGCAATATCTGAATGAATAAAAGTAAAAACATTCAGAATGTAATACTCCATTATTTGCTGATACTGGCCGATACATGGAAAGTTCTGGCACTTGTTTTTTTCCCCACTTCAGGCGCCCTTCATCATCATCATGCCTGTTTCTGCATCTCAGTCACATCGGACAGTTTTTTACCTTGACAGCTAAAAGCTAGTGAAAGCAGTGACTGATCAAGGCAGCGATGATTCCTGCAATAAAAAAAAAGGGAAAAAAAGTCAGACCGCTCCGAACGAAGAAGAAGAGGATGATGAAATGAATGATGAAACAGATGAGGTTTTAATCAGAATCTCTCTATGCTGGCACTCCGTGGGAATTCTTCACCTCATCAGCCCTCTGTATCCTCCCCCACTGGACGACGGGCAACCTCCCATAGTGCCTTGCTGCGTGGCCTTTTCAATAATGTAGAGGGGGAGAGAAGGGAGACAAAATGAGAGAGGAAACGATTTCCTGGCGCTGTGGGAGCCCCCTCTGTGACATTTACCTCGAGCAAGACCCTCAATGTGTGTGTGCGTGTTTGATGGCCCTGTTCCAGACTAATGATACCCCCCTCTGGCACACTCACTAGAGGCACAAAACTCTCCTGATAGTGATGCCACACATGTCCTTTAGAATCACACTGACGGCAAAGGAGGAAGAAAAGTGGGGAGATAATAGCGAAGAGGGATAGTAAAGCATTTGGAAGAGAAAAATCGGAGTAATACGCCCCCCACAACCCCCACCCCCTAGAGTGGAGCTCAGGTACAACAGAAGGGCGGGAAGTGAAAAAGGTTAATGAATAGAGGAGACAGTTTTTGTCAGCAAGTGACAGAGAAGGAGCAGGAGCGATCATCCTGTTTAATCCATCAGTTCCACCTGTTACCATTTCATACTTCATTAACTGCCCCCCCACCCCCACCCTCGTTTTCAGCACTGGGTGGTCTCCTCTGTCTCCGCGGGGAGTCTCCTACCCCCCACCTGGACACATGGCATCTATCATTACCCCCCTGCTTCAGCTCAGGGCCTCCAGAATGTCACACAGCTGGAGCGTGAGGCTGTGAAGACAGATGAAAAAGAAAAACCCTGGTGAATGTCATTAAAAAGACAGAGCACACTTCTGCTGCCCACAATTTAGTTAACGTTTTAGCGCTGCATAAACCAACTGTACACAGAGAGGTGTGTTTTAAGATGTAATGAAAACAATCTCACCTCAAAGTCCATTTGTTAGCTGTATCATATCGCACGATCTTCATGATCAGAAGGAGTTGGCCCACTTGTCAGGAAATTATAGATGTTGAAATCTGTTTCTTCAGAGCTTTTAAAGACTTCTCATCCATGTTCGCTTAAAAGCTGACGTTCAGTGTTCGTTCTTGACCTTGGAAACAACGTAAGGCTAATTTATTCTTCTTCGTTTCTGGAGCTTTTGATAGATTTTGATACCTCTGCTTTTAACATGGGCAAGAAGTCCTTGAAGTGCTCAGAAAAAACATTGGACCCAAGACCCACCCTGCTTAGTTACTTCTGTGTGATAACAGTGGTCATCAAAATTCTTCTGCCAACAACCCCAACCCTAACCCTATTCTCTTTCTAACTCCTCTAACCCTTACCCCAGAGGGAGACTATGAAATCTATCTTTGAATTAATCAGATATGATTATGACGGTAGAAGGAATAGATCCAGGGCCGATTCGCTCCATGCAGCTGTTTCGTGGTCTTGTTTTCTGTTACAAGGTATTACCTCAGATCCTGTCCTGACCTTAAACACGGTATTTTGGAAAATATTCATTCCTCAAATTTTAGCCAGACGTTGACAAAAGTGGCTGTATTGCTGCCCGGTCAATGTTGCTGTTGAGGTTACAGATAATAGTTGGATAAACGTGGAGCTCTTCGTGGAGTAGAGCAAGCAGCTCCCAAAAGATGGGCTCACATTCCGCCTCTTTATGGCCACAGTAGCCATGTTTACAACGTGCAATTTCTCCAAATGAAAAGCGCTCTTTAAGCATAAGAAGGATGCAAGTGGACAGCAGGACTAAAGCTGCTGGAATAAATACATAAAATGCTTAGGCTGGAATCCGGGGAACAGAATTGTTGCCCCTAAAACATTTAGTCCCTCATGAGGTGTATGCGCACCAACCATACCCAGCAGATGGTCCTGCCAACAACCTGAGGAAGACCCAACGTTTTGCACATGGGTGCTGAGATGGAGAATAGCACAATGCTGAAAGTTGTTCAGATGACTGCCACCTTTTACTACTTCACCCCAGATGGTGAATACATCTGTAATCAGAGGAGTATGGATCAGCCATCAACCTCTAAGGTATGTATTCATATAGTCATATGCCAACACGAGATCGTGCCAATATTAATGTCATGCTTTTTGTCATAATAATAATTATAATTATATAATATTAAGTAAGAGATAATTCCCAATGAGGTGTCCGTTATCAGGAATAAATGGTCGAAGTGGGGACAGTTGCCTTCACTGAGTACATTAATTAAATGAATTACTAATAGCTTCCTACTGTAACAATTTAATTTGACATGCTAACAATTACAGTTAATGTTAGAGCAGGCACACACTTTTTAATCCATTTGTTACACTTGATTTTATTTGAAATCTATATATATATATATATATACCTTGTCAAACTTTGGAACAAATGCATACATATTCAATAAATGTTGAGGATAAAAACAAAAAAGTTAAGAAAAATAACTTATTTTCACTGTGGTCCTCTTTCCAGGATGACAAGATAGTAATACATAGATAGTCGCAGATAACTGAGGGACTCTAAACCACCACAAGGCTCTTTAAAATACAATATATATTAAAAAGAACTGCGAGGTTAACATAGTTACACTTACCGTCCATACATACAAACACACACACACACACACACACACACATTCACAGACACCTCACCAGGCCTACTACAAACTTTTGCTCTTGTATTTTCGTGCTAAGTGATGATTTAACTTCACTGTTCACTGTTAGAAGGAGTGGGGATGGTGAACGGTCAATTCCATGACAACTGGGAAAACTCCACGTGATAAACACCATGTGGCACACACATTCAAACCACACAAATCACACACACACACACACACACACACACACACACACACACACACACACACACATACAGTGTGTGTATATATATATATATATATATATATATATATATATATATCTTCCAAGCTCACATCAAAAACATTAACCGTATTATGCTGAGACAGGGCTTTGTTATTCAATCAGTTATCATCAGCAGACACTGTCAAGTCTTTAAGATGACTCGGTGTCAGGGAGCTGGAAAGAGGTCACAGCTCAGTGTCAACGTTTGTATACACAGAGAGAAGAGATATGGCTGACTGGTCGTGTAAATCACCTATCTGTCTGTGGAGACAAACTTCAAAATAAAGTCAGAATGTGAAGGCTCTGTCAGAGATTAATGCTCAGACTCAGAATGTAAAAATAACCTGAGAAAGCTCTTGAGGTGTAACGTGTCAACCACAGTTAGATGGCTACACTACATACAACACATCTAGTATATAACAAACTTTGTTTTTATTATTTAATTATGAATCAAGCCTTAGTTGCAGATCATTCTTTCTGCTTGTATCTCGAGTCATATTGTTGAGGTTTTTGGCATTATAACACATAATATGAGGTAAGGTGTCGATTACTGAATGTACTTTCTAATATTTGACCTTGAGACATTTGACCGTGTCTTATGTGGTGATCTGCAGCTATTTTTTGCATCAAATATGACACGAAGAAATATTGCCAACAGCACTGGTTCCCAGCCTGGGGCTTGGGAGCCCCCAAGGGGTCACAAGACATAAATAAGGGGTCATGAGACAATGAAAAGGACAGAAAAGCAGAGAAAAAAATGGAAGAAAAGAAAAAAACTAATATTATTATACGCAATGAGATCTTTTTGAGATTTTTTTCTTTTTTACTGGGTAAAATAAAGTCTTCAGGCCTCTAAGAGTTACTTGTTTCACATAGTCATGACTCATAGACATAATCAACTCAAGTCTGAGTCTCACAGTCCAATGCTGACCCCTTGTGGATCCCAGAAAACACTACCACTAACTAATTTGGAAGGCACCCATGCTCTGACTAAAAGCAGCGATTAAAAAGCTGTGTGATTTTTACTTTTTAAGCTTCCTGTTATCAGTGAGCCCGGCCTGGTGGCTGCAGCCTGTCGCAGCAACAGCTCTCTGGCCAGGTCTGGCCTGCCGCTCTTGGCCAAGCAGTGAGCCAGCTGAGAGGCTTTGGGTTGGTGTGCGGCAGTGGGCAGGCCTCTCCTCCACATGGCCAGGACATGGAAGGCCTGGGTGGACAGGCTGTCCCCAGCCCGGAGCTTCACCAGCTGAGCAGCGCTACGGCGGAGACGCAGGGACAGCACCAGAAGGGCTACCTCCTCCTCTGATAGCTCCCCAGACAGCCAGAGAAGGAGAGAGTCTGACAGGGAATCTGGTGGGTGGGCAAGATAAGAAGGATAGAGGTGAGGTTGAGAATTGGCTTTAGACATTTCTTGGTGCTTTTATATTATCAACACTACCCAGCTTGGTTTGGAAGATTAGAAACATTTTTAGTGTCTAGGGCTCAATAAAGATATTTCCTGATACTGATGTATATCAAAATATAGCAAATGTTTGCGAAAGAAATGTAAAATAATCAAAGTGATGCAACAAAATGTGTTAAACTGTAACATAATGCATATAACACCAATTCATTAAAGCATAAATTCATAAAAATTAGTTTTTGTTAATTCAAAGCAAGCAAATTAATTAAAATTATTCATTTGGATAATTTGTAGAGCGACAGTGGTGGAAGTATACAGATCATTTACTTAAGTAAAGGTAGTAACACAACAATGTAAAATACTTTATTATACTTTGTTATACTATGTTACAGGCAAATGTCCTGCTAATATTCAAAATCTCACTTAAATAAAAGTATTATTAGCCAAATGTGACAACATTTCAACATGTTCACAAGTTTAATGTAAGAAATGCTGTGAAACAAACAAATAAAAGCAGGTTGGTGTCCTAGAATTATGAAAAAGTTGAATTTAGAACATTTTGAAATCAGTTCATGAGCATTAAAATTGGTTGTAATAGTCTTTCACTGGACAATGACTCTTGTTCAACATATGCAAGTAACCAGTAAAAATAGCTGTTCGATAAATGTAGTGAAGTAAAAAGAAAAGTGATCGGTATAATATATCCTTCTGAAATATAAAAGAGTAGAAGTATAAAGTAGTGGAACTGGAAAAACAAAAGTAAAGTACAAGTACCTCAAAACTGAACTCAACTGCGACTGTACTGAGTTACCTAGCCAGCAAAAATCTGATCATATATTGACGATAAGATGAAAGCAACCAGCAGCAATGACAACTTCACACTGAAGATGTCACCACTGGAAGAAAAGATGGATTCTGCTCAGCCCTGCAATACATTTTAATTGAAACTGTAGCAAATGAATTATAAATAAAAAGATATTCAAGCAGAACGTGTCACCCACCCGTCTCCTCGCATAACTTCACCCTGGCTATGATGGGCCGATTGATGGTTCTCACCTTCTGAAATGAAAGAGAATAAAATGCTAGAATATTCTTTTACTGTGAAGGTCAACACCAAGTACACTGTGGAATTCCTTGTGAATGCTTCTGCACCTTGGGTAAAGTCAGAGACAGCTTACAAACGGGATCTCCCAAGAATTTTGTGTCCGTGGGGACTGGTCTGTCACCTCGCCACTCCATCTGACCTCTGGTGACCTTATAAAACATGGCCGTGCCCTTATAGTGTGGGGAGCTGTAGTTCCCAAACGGGTCCACTTCTGTTAGACGCACCGAGAGGTGATTCTTCTGCTGACTGTGGAAGGTGATTCGCTCGCGTGGGAGATCACGTCGGCCGTTCTGAGTTCCTATCACAAAACACGGACGTGCAAAAACCTGTTTTAGTTTAGTTAATTAGTTACCCGTAGCTCAAACATACCTCAGATTGTAAACACACGTGCATACTGCAGGCTGCCTGTGCATAATCCATTCACTTTATTATGTGGTCTGTTGTATCCAGCAGCTGGAAGACAAACCGGTTTTGACCTGTGGTAACTTTATGACTTCCCCAACAACAACAACAGCCGTTTTATTATTTATGTTGTTGCTGTAGCTTCCTTTAGGGTAGCTTTTTTTTATGTATGTTTTGCTACATCAAACCTTCTTTTTGTTTCTTTCCCTTCATGTGAAGTTCAAGGCGCACATTCAGCACCACAAAGTGTGCAGAGACGTTTTGAATGCATGGATGACTCCACACTGTTAGAATACCAATCATAGTCAACTGTGCAAACAGTATATGTCATCTTTAACCACTAGTTCAACCTGTTCAAAAGCATTGAACTCTTGAACCCAGGCTTTTCAGGAAGTAGGGTCAGGTGTGTGCGGCCAAGGTAAACAGTCCCATATCATGATCCATCTGGATCAAGGTGGTCAGACAAACATTGTTGTCCCTAGAGCTATGCTTGCAAAACTAGAAGAGGCTTTTCAGATGCAAAAAAGTAATCTGTTCATTACGTGTATGTGGAAAAAAAGTGACTAGAAAGTGAGTTTTGTCACTTTTTCTCACCTTTTGTAAAAAAAACGTTAAATTGATTCTTTTTTGCATCTGCAGAGCCCTTTCTGGTGTTTTTTTTTCTCAGTGTTCAGGAAGTTTTTTCTATTATAAGAAACTTTTGTAATTAGTCAGCAAGTCAACCTCAGGTAGAGTACCTGTGGAGGTGATGTTGCCACTGAATCGCAGGAGAAGCTGGTCTCCTTCACACATGGAGATCTCAGACGAGGTCTCCGCGAGGCCCCCGTAGCCCTGGGCTTGCAGTTTTGACAGCTCCCAGCTGAGGTCTCTGCTGGGCAGAGCCACCACCAGGACGGTGTGAGGCTCATCTGGTCTACGCTGGAGCACGACGGTGACCGCGTGGCAGCAGACCGACTCCTCCAGCTCCTCTGCCAGGGAGGTAAGGTGGCACGGCTGCAACGGAGAGAGAAGACGAACCACCAGCAGTCTAAGAGGAGGGAAAGGAGAGTCGGAGACGGAAGCAAAGTTAAGAAGATGAGCTCAGCGGAGAGATTAGATTGTTGCTGAAAAGAGGGAAGAGATGAGTCTGTTATCATGGGCCTGAATATAGACTTAATATACTTAAAACAGAATAAAGAATTCATATTACCTACTGTTCAAATATTATTCCCTGGCGAGGCTGTTTTAGATAAGAAAGATGAAGAGAATTTATAGCACATGAGAAATAACTAGAATCCATCCTTATTGAAGGAACAGTTCCCAATTTCCAACTAGGTTTTAATTTAATCTTGGTGACTAAAAACAGAAAGGCTATGGCATATCTTTATTTTCTCATTGTCTATGACTTCTTTAGAGATTACTTAACATTTTTTACCATGTACTTATGTTCTGACATACGAATGCTAAAGCCTGGAATTCAAAGCATTTAGGCCCCCCTTTATTCATACTGCATTTCTTAAAGCCCTTACGTGAAGAAAAGCTTGCTCTAAGTCTGGTTAGTTGTACTGTTCCACATTTCTTATCATGCTGTGCCTTCGACTGAACATGTCTACTTGAAAGGATATGAGGTGGAAAAGTGGTTGCACGAGTGGTAAGTACTTCTAGATGATGTCTTGTCGATGTATTTGACTCTCGATTCAGCAACGCGAGAAAGTAAACAAAATGTGATAATTATGTCCAATGTTGTTTTCCTAAATCAGTATGCAAAAGGTTCTTAAAGTTAAGAGTATTATACGGAAGCTCAAAAAGGCAAGTGAATATTTTTCCTTGTGATAATTGGTTTTAAATTTATTTATTTTTTAATCTTTGAAAACAGGTAAAAAACTTTTTTTGAAGATAATTTTTCAAGTTTACTTTTATTTCAGCTGTGACAAGGTAAAAAAGAAAGAAAGTGAAAACTGGTTAAAACTAATTTTCACTTTCACATTTTAAACTTAAATGTTGTTCAAATATTATTTTTTACCTGTTTTCAAAGATGAAAAAAAAAATGTACTTGCCTTTCAGGGCTACCGTAGAATTGTCAATTATTACAACATCTTTATAAAGAAAAGAAAACACTGTGTGGACCAGCTTAACTAAAGGAATCTTACATTCGTGTGAAATACTGCTGTGTGTAATTTTGTATTACTGTCTGTTTGTTTACTGCTTTTCTGATTGTATCTGTGTGACTGCAGATGAAAAGCTTAGCTTAAAGCTAGCTCTGGAACAATACATCAGATTGTAACATTTAATACTGTAAATGGTCCCTGACAAAAAAAAGATATAATAAATGTCACTGTGAAATGTGGAGGGTAGTAAAACCAAATGGTCCCAGCCTAAAATATCTCAAATATAATATCTCAAACTATTCTCAAGTAGTATTACTTTGTTTCTTATTCCAGCATCTCCAGAGTTATTCCCGTAAGGCTTCACACATCAAACCCCATCATGCTGAAGTTTCCAACAGAGCTCATTGTCCACAAGTAGGAATCCACAATTTTCAGAGCACTTCAAAAAATGAAGTGTTGTCCTGAAATATGCAAATCCACTAATCCCTAATTTTCTGTTTCTCTGTGTGTGGCCAGGGGCAAAGTGTCCTCCCTCCTCTCTGTAGTGGGAGGACTCCTGATGACAGTCACAGCTGGGAGTCGGTGTCTGGATGTGGCTTTGAGGACGGCCCAGAATCCGGCTAACCTGCTGCGCCTGTCCAACACACTGATTGGCCTCATGGGCCTCAGATACCAAATGCATGTGAGAAAACTGCAACTGCTAATGTCAATTAATTTATAATCTTTAAGGGAAAATGACCAAAACATGCACATATGGCTGTTTTATTCTGCTTAAACACTGAAAGATCCTTGTTTACTCTAATTACTCTCAACTTTTTTTTTAAACATTAAAGTTTTGAGTCTAAACATTGTAATTATTTGCTAATGTTTTCTGTATCTTGCAGGCTAACTCCATGGCAAAACGCAAACTAAAAAGGCTGTATTTCACTGACAGGTGTTGAAGAAGTTACTCTCATAAACAAATAATATTCATTGATTTTTTTTTTTTTTGGCCATTTCCAGTCCTGACTTTATTAAATATTGTTTATTTTGTGGCCTCTATGTGTGTTCCAGTTTCAACAGCCTCTTTGACATTATAAGAACAACACTGCTACAAACTCCTGATTTGAAGGTTTTATGCTGGTTTCCTGCGTCCCCTGAGCAGCAAACAAACCTGGAGTCGACCTTTGCTCACTGCATCTCGGCAAGAAGGTGCGTAGTCAAATGAAAACAGTTTTTGGTCCTGCTTCATTAATCTGCAGTGGCTGAGAGTGTTTTCTGTTCTGTGGTCAGATGCAGGATATATTACATCCTCATTTGTGGTGTGAGCAGCCAGCCCGTTCTGACGCTGTGCATGGGAAACAATGGCAGCAAGCTGAAAACCTACAATCCTTCAAATCAGCTACAGTGGTTCATCAACTTCACCAGCAAGACAAAGGGAGATGTGGTAAGAGACAGAAGGTTACAGTTTGGCGTCACAACACAACTCGTGTGCTTGTAGGATATCGTTAAGGGTCTTCTGTTGATACAATATTGTATGTTTTTTCAGATTTTTCTTTTACTGGGTGGACACACTGGAGAAATCTGCGCTGGATCTGCCACAAATTCTGCTACAAATGAGCCTACGAGTCTGACCCTGGGTTTCTCTGTGCTGTCTGTAGTCCTCCTTTGGATGTTTCTGCCTCATATTGCAGTTTGTGCTCTGATCTATTTAGGCTGGAAGGTAAAACAACATAGCCACAGAGTGCTGCAGTCACTGATATGCTCATCATAATGCTTTTTTTAATCACAACCAACAGTTTGAGGTTAGAGAAAAGATGCCTGTGCTTCAGCTCTGAATACTTTATAAAACAAGGACCTTTTTGTCTATATCCAACCAGGAGAAAATCATTCACGCTTTCATATCTAATTCACAGTAATTCTCTGTATTTTCTGAACCAAGCCTTTCTTTGCAGCCTTCGACTGGTCCAGAGCACAGCAGCAGGGTTTCTAACAAGATCAGAAAACCATATTACCTTTTCTCTTGCCTCCCTGCAGTGGCTCTTTGTTAGCTTTACAATTTAATCTACCATTCTAATATTTATCCAAAAAGCAATACGTGATCTTGATCAAGGACATAATCAAATATCATAAAGCCAACCCCACAATCCACTCCGTCCATTTATATTTCCAAGAAACAACTGAAACACATTTTTACTCATTCGTTTTTTATCTCTTATTTTGATTCTTTGTGAGTTAGTGAGCTAGTATTGTACAGTGTGTATGCATCTTTCTTGAATTGTGTACTTCTATTTTGGTCCATTTCCTGGCTTTCCTATTAATCCCTTTGGATTACCTGTGTTAAATTTAAAGGACTGTAAAATCATAAAAATAAATTTAAGTTTAACCTCTCATTCTCAATAGTTTTAATATTCATTCATTAGCCATTCACATTTGCATTAATAAAATACATGTTGCAAACCTGTCAAAGTGCTCGATCAACTCTAAGGACACCAGTCCGTTTTGCTGGTTCCTGACTGTGACTTTGTCCAGGACGGTCCACTGTTTGTCCCTTGAACCCAGAGCAATCAGCAGCTCATTGGACATTTCCTTAGACTTCAGAGAGGCACCCAGGATCCTGAGAAACAAGTAAAAAACAACAATATGATTTCATATTTAATATTTATAACAGGACTATGAGTCTACAGCTATGTTTGCATCTTTGTGAGGCTGTGCTTTGATGCTAAATCCTAACATACTAAAACTCTCACAATGACAATGCTAACATCCTGATGTTAAGCAGGTGTAATGTTTGCCATATTCACCTTTTGTAGTTTAGCATGTTAGCTGAATTTAGCACTAAACACACAGTGCAATTAAGGCTAATGGAAAGTCGTTATTTTTTCATCAAAATCACAACCTGATGATGGCACTGGATGAAAAGTCACCAAAGTTATGACGATACATTATCTGGGAACCATAAATGTCTGTACAAAATTACATGACAATCTATGCAATGGTTGAGATTTCGGTTCAAAAAGTGGTGGACCAACTGACCAACCAACTGACTGCCTTTTTTGCCACGATGCCAGCATGCTAAAAACTTTTATTCATTATAGATGGTTTGCAGTTTTCAGTAGTTAAAGCATGATTCTCATCTGGGAGCTGCCTCCCACATCTCTGGTCTTTTATATGCAATACTGATCCTCTGATATCTGTATTTCAGCTCATAGAAAAAATACAAAGAGGCTACACTTCACTCACCTCCTTCTGTGGGAAGCTGGTTGATCCCACGGTGAAAAAGCACCAACAGGCCGAGACTGATTGTCATACCCCTCCCCTTGTCCTCTTGCGTGCCTCTTCTTTTCAGGGTTCGGGGGACAGGGAAGGGTGAGAGTGAGGGGTCTTCTCAGGGGCTGAGAGCATGGATGGGTGAGGTAGAGTAGTGGACTTGTAGACACCACCGACTGGTAGGCGTCACTTCTGGACTTGATGGCACCCAGAAGGACGGCATCAACCGTCTGGATCTGAGGCAGATGAGGAAACAGCTGTTTTAGGCAGCAGTTTGAAAAGAGATGCGGCGTGATGTGAAAATATATTTCATTCCACACTTTTGTTTTGCCGACAGCATGCTGTTTTATCAAAGAGAGACATGCAGAGGGGGAGCTGTTGGTTTTTTGACGTAAGATCAAGAGACGAACTGCTGTGGTGAAGTTAGTTCACAGATGATTGGACTCAGAAGTCACTTCAAATATTGGCCACAGCTGTTCATTTTTCTACCTCAGAGCAAACATCTGCGAAAACTCAAGTCTGTGAATTATAAGCAGTCTATCTGTTTCTCCTTCACTCACTTGCTTTTTATATCCCCCTTCCCTTAATATGTTTTTCTGTTCGCATTTTTTACAACAATTTCAATATTTTTTTGATCATTTAGTTCTTTTTCCAAAGCTTTATCTCAAATTTACAAATACGTTTTTACCCTTTTCTCAATCCCAAACTACCCTCAACAAATCGGTTGAGCAAGCCTATGTTATAACACACTTGTATTAAAAGTAGTAAGAGACAGATGGATAGTGATCAAATCATCATCGCCATACCATGGTTTGTGCCATTACTGGGGCAGTGAAGGATCCTGGGAGGTAGTTAAGACAGATTCGGGGGTCCATGGGGAGCTTGAGGGACAAACCCTTTGTAGGAACTGTGTAATTTTCTCTTTTCAGACAGGAAACCACTGCAAACAGGCCCAAGGTGTACACCCTCACCTCTGCAAATGAGCCCTGGCAAAGACATAAGAAAAACAAACACAATCATCTTTTTGGACATCAAGTTTTTATACAGATGATACAATTATCCATGCAGTTGACTCCTGACTAAATCAAGCTATCACTGACCTCCAATGTGCCTTTCACAAGTTATAATTTCAACTATTATAATTAACCCCTGAATGCACACAAACAAATTAAAAACAAATGTAAAGGTGATACTGTCCGCTCAACAAAATGTAGAACATTTCAAACAATGTGTGGAAGAGAATTAGAAAAGGTCTTCTTATACAAATATCTTGAAATATGGCCGGATGACAAATAATCCTTCATTATTGTCAATGATAAACTTATAAAGAAACCTAAACCCAAACTAGGTTTTTATTTAAGTTTTAAGAATTGCTTTCCCTCTGGAGAAAAACATCTTACTTTTATCTGTTTACATCCTGTATATGCATGTTTTCTACCTCTGAAAAAACTTTTTGTACTACGCGCCCTGGGTTTGGAATTATTTAGAAGAAACACTGCCTTCATACCACACATTCAAATGCTACATTAATTTTTTATGAAGCATGTCACTGTTTTCTCCTCTTTATACCTCATTGTATGCTATGTATATGCACATCATTGTGCTATAAGTAAAGGGTTTTTTTATGACTTTGTGTAAACTACTCTACAGTGCCATTTTCAGGTCTGTTGTGGAAAAGGGATGTACCTCAGGATACCTCCTGACTAAATGAAGGTTAAACAAATTAAATTAAACAAATACATTTAGAAATATATTCTTTAGTTAATGACAATAACATTATAGAGTTAGTATAAGTAATATAGAACTTTACCCTCTGCCCTCCATACGGGCCCTCTGTTGTTACAGGAGTGATGTAACTTGTCCTCCTCTCCCCATCAACTATCTTCACAGCGACATCCCTATAGTTGCCACGGTAACGTGCACAGAAGGGCACAACCACAGTCACAGGGAAGTGGAGGTTAGCTCCGTCCTGAGCTTGGACCCTGATCACTCTGCTAACCAGTTCCTCTGAATCGGCCACCATCAGGCAGCTCAGGGTGTCGGCCACCTCGCATCTCAGGACTTCAGCCACACCCATAGGTGCTCTGATAAAGCATGCGTCTGGTACATCTGAACGGCTGTCCTCCTGTTGACCTGTGAGCCTAGAAATAATTTTAAAATAGATGATATGTGCACAGAAACAAAGCACGCTGTACAGACATGATACTGCTTGTATATTATGCTGTTACAGTATTTGCTCTAAATATTGTTTATCATCTTTAAGCTTCATTTCTAGCAAAAAGTGCAACCATCTTAAGTATTTCTGAGATGCTGGAGCACGCATATTTCCATATCAGCTTCTTCCAGACTAAGCCTCTGCCACTGATCTGAATTTTCCTGATTTGTTTGGCTTTTGGACAAATGTGGGCATTGACCCGGCAGTGAACTGCATGAAATAGTCGGCAGTGGGAAGGCCAAGCGGTCCAACTGTGTACAATTTGTGATAAACCACCGCAGAGAGTTTGCTGCTGTATCAGTGAGCAGGAGAAATAAGGAGAAATCGAATCACGTCCAGACTCACGAGCTGGCCCCATACGAGCTTGCATGTTTTACTGCCTGTAAAAATCCATTATGTTAAAGAGCATTTATGCTTTCAGCACAGCGCAAGTTTACTCAAAGTGGAATATTACAATAATGTGCTATAATTGCATACTATGCAACCAAACACTGTGTAAACCAGCACAGCTTTATTTTTGATTGTAAGTTTTTAAGTAAGCTATCCTTTTCTCATCCAGGTAGGGATATTCATTCTCTGCATTTGACCCTAATAATAAAGGATAACTTAAAAACTTTTTCAATGAAGAGCTGGAACAAGCCAATACAGAATATATGATACTCTCAGACAGCATGGATGAGGAAAAGGATTTTTAACTTCCTCAGAGCAACTTTAAGGGAAACAAAAAAGAAAGTTAGGTTGAGGGTTAAAGGGGACAAAAAGGTAGTAATTTCATGAACTTACCCTACTGTGATCCATTCATTATTCATCTCCTCTTTGCCCTTGTCATTTACCCTATTCGTGTCCTTTTCTGTCTCCTCACAGAAATCTGTCTGTCTATCTGGAGAAACACAGTCCTCATTATCAATCCCTTGACTTTTGACCACTAATTCTTTCCCTGTCTCTTCCACATTGTTGCAGTCAGAACTGCTGAATCTGGAGTCCAATGTTTGTTCAGTATCAGGTAATGACATCGTATGACTTTGATCATCTCCATCTTCAATGTCCTTTTTACATCTAGAGTCAAATTCAAGGAAATTATGGGAGTTCAAGGGGTTGTTGTCATCTTCACGTTGCTCTGATGTTTTTGTATCTCCGGTCTCCTGAAGGGCTGCACCCACAGGTGAGGCCTCCTCCGCACATGATTTGAGTATTTCTTCATCCAGCTTAGTTCTGATTGTGTTCAGTTTGTCTATAATGTTCTTTATGTCCTCCCCAACACTCAGACAGGTATCACTGAAGGAGTCTGAACAAGGTGTGACTTTACATTCGCTATCTGAAAAAATAAAAAACAGGTCAACAGAACAAAGGCAATTGTGTGTTATATCACAACAAAAATATTTGTTAAAGGAGTGTAAGAAAACTTTAGAAATATACACAATAAGCCTACATCTCTGCATTTCTGTAAAGAAAAAAAAAGCCTATTTAGTACGAATGATTGTTAGAAATTATGAAAATGCATAATATAGACAGAGAAAACTCTCAGATCAACATTCACAGGAAACAATCTACTCAAAATGTATCCAAATCACTTGTTGTTGTTTTTTGTTGCTGTCTACGGATATTGTTTTGCATTGAATGTAATATGAGATATCCATAAATTATGTCACATAGTCAGGGGTTGTCTCTTTACTTAATGACAGAAAAGGGGTCCCTTAAGAAAAAAGGTTTGGAACCACTGAGTCGGATAAACTTACAAACACCTGTTGTAGATGGATGTTGCTGATCACTGCCCCCTGCTGGAGACTCGGGGAACATGTGGGCACATTCTCTGAGAACTTCTCTCCACGCTGTCACTCTGTCTGAATGAAAAACACTCAGCTCCCTCAGCACTCCCAGAACTTTCTTCTTGCACTCCTCCTCCTCCACCTCTCGCTCTCCATCAACATTTCTACTACTCTCTTCATCCTCTCTTTGACCTTCTGCTGGACTGAGCATCCCTTCTTCACTCCCTCTCTGCATTTCCTCTCCTCCGCCTCTTCCTGGTTCTTCTCCTGTGCATCTCCCGCCTCCCACCAACGCTCCAATGCGATGATCTCTGCGACGTCTGACAGCTTCAAGCCCCCGAATAGTTTGAGTCAACGTGTTGAGGAGACTGTTCTCCCTCCTCCTGTCACCAAGAGACTGAGCTTCATCCATCTGTTCATTCAGGTGCAGATTCTCATCCAATGCTCAGCTGAAAAATACAACAGATAGAGGTCAGAAGTGTCTGATTTGGCCTGTTTTCTGCCTCCTTTTTCAGTCCATCCTGCACATGGCACAAGCAATTCACTCCTTTAACAAAATGTTGGTGAATAATATCAAATATTCACTAAAAATACATTGCATTCCCTTGTGTACCTCCTTTTTATATTTGAAGCTGAAGCCCCGTTGTTCGCTGTGTCCTTGGCATTCACTGTTGCTGTGTACAGCTTTCCTAGTTTAGGAGCCAATGCTGTATTTATATGGCTGCCAGCAGTAAAACATGTTGCCAAGGCGACCGCTGGAGGCGTGGCGGGGAGGGACAAAAGAGGAGCCACAGAGTAAAAAGACTCACAGGGAGACAGAGTGCTGTCCTTCGGACATCTCATCCCTCTGTTCTGCTCTTCCGTCACTCATTTTACTGCAGGTACGCCCAGACAGTAAAAGCACAACGTCATCTATTTAACTTCACACACCCCTGAATCATAAAAAAACAGGTAGTAGTTACTCATTGATGAATTTGAGAAAAACTTTTATTTTAAATACAAGAAATGTCACTTGTTTAGAAGGCATATGTTGAGGAGGAGGTTGAACTCACAGGTGGCAGAAGAGCAGGTTTCTGAAACAAAAGCCGCCGACAACAACACAAAAGCTGTCATTTCGTGGGTTTTCTGTGGTGGTTATGGTGTTATAAAACCTCTGTGGTGGAGGTATTCAGGTAATTTACTTAAGCCACATCATAGTAAAACTATAGTGTTGCTATCCAGCTATCTAGGTGTTGATCCAGTGAAAAGTTAATTTCAGAGTGCTATATGATTGATAATACATTGTTATATTGGATACAGTTTGTAAATGCTGTGGATTGTCCATGCACAGCGAATGATATAATGATAATAATTTTAGGTACTTTATAAACCACTGGGTTGGTTTAGAGTAAAGCAATGCACTGTATTTTATAAGATCATGTGTTTTGCAAGTAAAACCTTAATCTGAAACGTAATTAGAGTCATATAAATGTACGGAGTAGAAGTGTAAAGTAGTATAAAATTAAAATACTCAAGAATAATCTGAAAATGTTTACCTAAATACAGCGTTTGAGCAAATGTACTGAAGTCAACAATGTCCTGATGTTTACGTTACATCCTAATGAGAACAACACAGTTTAAAAACCTTTTAGTACAAAGCCAGTATATTTACCAGACAGACAGTGAATCTACAATTATAATCCACTTTGGTTGAATTCTCTTTATTAGTCTGAAGAAAAAACGTGTTACGTGCACAATACCAGGATCCTGAAACTGAAGCAACTAAATGGAATTCAACCATCGTTCATTTTATTATTTACACGTGCTTTTACTGTGACATGTGAAGATGAGAAAGGCCTATTTTGCTCATTACAGTACAGTCACAGTGCTGCAGCACTCTGTCCCCACCATGTGGCTGACTCTGCATACTGCACCTTTATATTTCATTATGTATTTTATCACTTTTTATTTTTATAAGGAGTGATGATGCCCATCGATGGAGGAAGAAAAAATGAATATATTGTACATATGATATAAAAAGGGTGGCTGTGGCTCAGGAGGAAGAGCGGGTTGTCCACTAATCAGAAGGTTGGCAGTTCAATCCCCGGCTCCTCCCCCAGCATTTCAAGTTTCAAGTGTCTCTTGAGCAAGAAACTGAAACCCAAAATTGCTTCCAATGCTGTGAATGAATGTTAGTTTCTGTTTGTGTTTAATCTGTCAATTCTCTTGTTTTCTTATACATATTGTCTTATATATTTGTTGTTGTGCATCATTGTTATACAGCAATACAGCAATACCATGTACAGTATACAATCAATGTTATACTGCAGTATACTCCCCATTTATGTAATGAAATATAATAAATAATGTTAGATTATCATAATGAAACAACAAGTGTTCGTCCCCCCCCAGAACTCGTTTCATTAAGTGTGCAAGTGAGCCTGCCGCATTCCTGCCTGTGTGAATGTGTAGCCCGGGGCCTCGGGATCAAGCTGGGACATGCACGTATTCCCAGCAAAACATCACAAGTGCCTCCACTTTGCTGTTCTCCAGTGCTTGTCACATGCAAGCACACTTTTTTATTGTAGAATTAGGCTTACTTAGAACAAACAGAGCTCAACGAGATTGACTTTTCTGTCAAAACCAGTACGCAGATCCTTTACTTCAGTATAAGTACTATTGCCACACTGAAAATACTAAAATAGTAAGTAAGTAAAAGTAAAAGTAAGTATTATCAGCAAAATGTTCTTCCTTGTATCAAAAGTGAAAGTAGTCATAATGCAGTAAAATGGTCCCTGTGTCTTACTGTTATATATGATTTAAATGAATATTACAGCTGCATGTTGCATTTTACTATTACTTTATATGTTGTTGTTTAATCTAAAGACATGCATCATACTCAATAAGATCACCATATATTTGTAGCATTGCTGTCCTGTGAGAACCATGTATAAAAAAAGTCAACTTGTATTCAGCTTTGTGACTATACATTTTCCAGCTAATCCAGGTGGGTTTTTAAACAGTTATTTAACATTAACATTTAGTTTAAGAAGAAGGAGAAACGTCTCAATCCATACTTCACTTTATTAGAAAAATTCTAATTCAAAATGACAAGATATTTAGCTGGACAGGAAGGGGAAAGTAACTGGTAACTAAAGCTGTCACACAAATGTAGTGGAGGAACAAGTAGGAACATTTGCCTTGGGGATATAGTGGAGTAGAATAAACTGGAAATACTCAAATGAAGTATTTCAGTAGCCTAAATCTACTTGATTCCACCACTGTTAGCAGTCTGCAATAGGGATTTCTGCAGTTTAGGAGTTTTTAGGTGAGGACTTTTTCCTCTGAGCTCTTGGCCCTGCGCTGGAATGGGCGTGGAGTTGCTCTCAGCACAGAGGGGACGGAAACAGACGAGTGTCTAAAAAGCGCGATGTGAGTACCGTCAACGGAGACTGTGAGCGGCTCAGAGTGATGACAGAAAGTGAACACGGTGCGCGGATGATGCCCCGAACTTTCCTCCTGTTCTTAATCCGCAGGTAAGCTTTACCAAGCACCGCGCGCACGCACGCACGCCGACGTGCTACGTCAACACTCCGACTTTGATGTGTTCATTTATCGCCAAAAAGCCGACCAAAGTGGGCGCGCGACTGAAATATCTTCAATTAAATTAGCTTTTTGGACGTTAGCAGCGGGTTTATGACACTTAGCGATGACTCGGGGAGATTTAAAACAAGTGTAATAAGAAGGTAAAGTAAAAAAACTGCGTCACTCAGACTTAAGTTGGTGTGTGTTACATTATATCCACTGTGGTGTAAGTCCAGTAGCTGTAAACACACACGAGCACATCTGGCACGTGCAAACATCAGCGGTGTTGTTGCTTTGAGCTTTCAATGAAATCACACTCTTGCCCAACAGCTTTTTCACAAAACTGGGCTTTGCTACATTTTTAAAAGGACTCTTTGATTCTTTTGAGAAATGTGTGTGACCGCATCCTCAAAACAAACCCTTAATGTTGAGTTTTTAAAATATTTAAATATCTCAACACTAGAAGAAAAAAACCAAAAAAACAAGCACAGGTATTTTTTCTCAAACCAGGAAGGGGACACACATTGGACTTTGTTCAAAACTAAGTATGAGAAGTATGAGGTAGGTAGGTAGGTTGTGTGTGTGTGTGTGTGTGTGTGTTGGTGTGCATGCATGGGCGTGCATGCTGTGACTCACCCTCTCTACCTTAGGACCATACCTGTGGTGGCAGCCACACTTTCAGATCTAGTTTTGTTTTGCAGAGGAAACAATATCTTGGTCTAATCAATTGTTGTTCTCCTTGTATGCATCATGTGTATGTCTGCACACACATGCATGCACACACACACACACACACACACACACACACACACACATTGCTTCATATCTTCCCCTGCCTGTGTGGCATGTGCAGGTGGTTTACCCTGTGAAGTTCTCTTTTTGTTCTGTGTTATTGATCTGCACACACTGTGGGCTTTGACACCGGGCAGTAGCTGTGGATCACAGCTCCTATATCCAGCCCTTTTAATAATGTTTGCTGAATGTGTGGGCTCTGTGGCGCATAGCTTTTTTTTTTTTTATGTGTTTGCACGTTGTGTGAGTGGGTGTGCAGGCACCAAAAGGCAGAGATGGTAGAGCAGGCCAGGTTAAAATGTAGGTAGCAAGCTTTGGCGTGTGCCTGTGCTGGCTGTTAGCCAATACAGGTCCCTGCATGTTAACACTGCAATACACAGCTAGGCAGGTCTGTTAGATTCTACTGGTCTCTGTTGTGAGATCTTAATACAGCAATGCGTGGAGTTGTGGACTTATATTGGGCCTATGTGGCAGTGTAGCAGCTAAGGTGTGATGTGTGCGCTTACAAGATGTAAAGCTTTTAAAGGCCTTTGAGCACATATGAACACAACTGATGTCAACACTGTGACAAAAATGTTTTTTGCCTTGTGCAGGCAAGAGGGGAAAATATTCTGCATTCTCACTGGGTTACAAAATAGCGTGGTCATTTTTTGTTTATGTGCATTCTGTGAACTACTTGCATATTAGGCCCGCAATTGTAAGCTTTGTGTGCAGAAAAGCCACAAGATTGTGTTTATTTGAAAGCAGAAGTAACACTTCATGTCGCTTGTGTACTGTAGGTTTGCAATGCAAAAGAGAAGTGGACATGACAAGATGTTGACAATGATGTATTTTCCTGTTAGTGTGTGTGTGTGTGTGTGTGTGTGTGTGTGTGTGTCTGTGTAAGAGAGAGAGAGCCGTTCTTCAATTCATCATCTGAAGTGATTGTGTGAAATCATCAGGAAACAGACATTTTAGTATAGCTTAGCATTAGCAGGATTGTTACCTGTGCGTGTCTCTGTGACGGTGAGCTGTGATGTAAAGCTTGGATTTTTATCTGCTGCTGTGGTGAGTGCTGTAAAAAAAGAAAAAAGATGTCAGTTGGACGTTAAGGAGAAATTCAGTGTGTTTGTTATTTGATTCAGACTTTAAGGCGAGTGTCGTACCAAAGAACCTGACCATAGAGCCACACTATGATGGTGATGTGATATTTCATCATAGCTATTGCTGCTTCCTGCTGTTTCATCCCTGAGTGTTGCAAATTTAGGTTTGGTTCTGTCCGCTGCATAGCACGTTTGCTCACTTGTTGATGAATGTACCGCACGCTCATCTGGTATTTTCTGAGAGGGCATGAAGGAACAGACGGCCAAATTTAACGCCTGTTTCCTTTATTACTAAGCGTACATGGGGAGATTTTAAACCGCGCTCATGTGTTAAAGGTAGATGTGAAGCAAGGAGACTGTTAGCCGAGCTTAGCTTAGCATGAATGTTTAAAGCAGGTATGAGAGTGGTAAAGATCCTCTCGTCTAACTCTGGGTAAGGAAGGCGAATGAGCATATTTCTCAAAACGGTTACCCTAATGAGTCGGAGAATAACGTCATCAAAGTGCTATTTAAAAGTAAAAATCGACCTTTAAAGTTTCACCTGCTGAACTCCCCTCTAAGACAAAATCAATATCCGCTCTGAACAAGTTTGGCCTGTAGGAAAAAGCACATCACTAGAGCCTAATAGATATTTTATTCCTGTTAGAATTTCAGAGGCATTTCAGAGGTTAATAATCTTGTCTATGGTACAAGTACAACGATTAGATTCAGTTTGACAGCACTTACAGCCTCTTAAGTTTACAGCATTTCCCTTCTCCCATCACTTACTTTTATCTGTTTTTGTGTCTGCAGTTTGAAGCCGGACTACTACATCTTCTGAAGGTTTTCCTCATGTGGCAGAGCTGAGACTAAAGCATCATGTTGGAGCCTCCAGAGTCTAGCCAGTCTGAGATTGTGGAGTGGTTGCACACCCTCCGCCTGTCCCAGTACACTTTATGTTTCCAGCAAGGAGGCTATGAAGCTCTGGAAGACTGCAAGGGCCTCACAGATGAGCACCTACTGCAGCTTAAAGTGTTTCCGACGGGCCATCGCAGGCGCATCCTCCGAAGTTTGGAGGCACTAGGGGTGAAGCAGCAGAGCGGTGGAGAGGAAGATGAAGAGGGCGGGATGGAGAACGGGAATGGCCAAAGGAAGCCTGTGCCACACCCGAGACATATCTTCCTCAAGGATAAAAAGAGAGGGACTTCGTGTCAGCACCACCAGTCAAACGAGAGGAGAGATTTGGAGGGGAGTCAGACTTTACCTCCAGGAGCAGGACTGGGAACAGAAGTTGAGGACGTCCCGGAGAGCAGACCCCTCCACCCGCCTAAACCGGCCCCGCGCAATCCCCAGAACATCCGAACATCACCCTCTGAACATATCTGCGTCCCTGCCTTTGTGTCCTTTCGCAGCGATAGCAGCAGCAGTGAGTCCCTCTCCATTTCTGAGATGCCCTCCGACTGGGAGATATCCTCAGAGGATCCCTCGCTGTCTAGCACCGACTCCCTCTACTTTCCTGCCGAAGCCTCCTACTCAGTGCTTACTGAGGACAGTGGAGGTTTTCAAGGTGAAATGGTGGAAAACTCCATCTATGAGGCACAGCCCAGTTATAAGGCTCCTGCAGGGCCGTGGCTCACTCGCTCCTACCGGCTGAGGCACCGACCAGTCCCTGAAATCCCAATTCAGACCATACTGCCACTTCAGGACAGGTAAACTTACAGTTAAACTTGCTTATTCCCTTTATTGTCAAGAGTCAGATGAGAAAATTGATACCACTCTCATGTCTGTACGGTAAAAATGAATCTGTAGCCAGCTGTGGGGTTAGCTTAGCTTAGCTTAGCATAAAGATTGGAAACAGCTAGTCTGACTTTGTCCAGAGGTAACAAAACCTCTAAAACTCACTATTCATTTTTTAATCTGCACAAAAAAACATAACTAGTTTTTACCCATCTTTGTAATAAGCTAAGCTAACTGGCTGCTGGCGATAGCTTGGGAGTGATGGTTTTACGCTTTTGTTTTTGTACAAACAAGATATAACATGTGTGATACTCACAAATCAACATGTTGTATCTTGTTGGTGTTAATAGGCAGACTTCGTTAAGCTAAGCTAACTGGCTGCTCTCGGGAGCTTAGCAAAAATGAGACTCAATTCTGCTCATCTAAATAATCCTTGGAAAGGAAGCCAATAAGTATATTTAATAACAATGTGAAGTGAATTTTTGAATATGTTTAAAGCCAGGCTAGCTCCCCCAGTCTTTACGCTAATCTAACTGGCTGCATGCAAATGTTGAACTATTCCTTTAAGCATGAAGTTTGCCTTTATGAAAAATGTATAAGCAGTATGTGAGAACTAATCAAACAAGTTGGAAGTGCAAGGTGAAAAGCTCCTGGAGAAAAACATTTTGTCACAGCATGAATGAATATGAAAATAAGACTTTTCAAAACACAATGAAAACTTCCTCTCTCTCCTCACTCTGTTTCACGAGAACCTGAGGCCTTCATATTCAATTCTGCTTTCCACGTTAATACCTTAATACTATATAGTGTTGAACTCTTGAACTGTAAAACAGACTTCCACGTTCCTATTGGGAGGTCCTGTAAGGTGTTATAAATGGTGTTGCCTATTTTTCCTCACGTGCTGCATTAGTGATTCTAATCCAATGATTCCTCTTCCGCCACAGGAGCACACCACCAGCGCAAACAACCAGCCCTGAACACCTAACCGGCTCCGAAGGTCCCACCGGTGCAAACAGCATACAGAAAGGTACACAGTCTTTCAGCTGCATCTGCTTCATCTCTGCCATGAATATTTCATTCAGCAGTAGAGTCAGCGGTGCTGTTGTTTGCCCGGATGAAAGAAGTGAAAGAAGATGAGGGTAGTGCGTGGGTGGGGTGGGGTGGAGGTGTTTGGCGGCGGTGTCGTGGGAAACGGCGTCGCCCCCGTTTCAAGCGCACATCTCACAGGGAATATGCTCTCTCACATCTTGTCCCTCAGCGAGACCCTGGTGTGTATTCCTGTAGCCCGGCTCGCCAAAGTTTTTTAAGAAGTTGTTTAACTTTGCTTACAACGCACAGGCTTGTAGTACAACCAGTACAAATATATGTTTTGAATTTTTCCTCCTCCCTCGCTGGATTTATTGGGCTTAGTCCACCCTCGCGTCTCATCTGACGAGACACTACGTGAGCTGCTGTCTGTGCCGAGGTAGACGCGTTCTCCTAGGATTATGTGACGCCTTCCTGTGACGACAGCCTCTATGAACGTGCGCCGAACACCTGTGAGCATGTCAGTCTTTTTGGGGACCGTATCTGACTACGTTGTGACATTCCCTCTCCCAATCATCTGCGGCATATCAACAGTTTTCTGTCCGTTTTCAACACTTTATCCTCCCTCACGTTTTTTTTGGCTTCCCCCTGCCTTCCTTGTTCCGTGTACCTTTACTGCAGCAGTCTCTTGGTAGACCTTGTTTTTCCAACTTTTTCACTGTATGCAACAAGACTGGGAGTTAGACTAGAGAGAAATGCAAGACAGTGAAGTGGGTTGGGAGGAAGGAAGAGGAGATGGATGCAAAACAGGCGGAGAGATGGCGGAAGAGAGGGAGCCGAGGCGGTCCCAGAGCAGGGAAACAGGGAGCTCAACTAGCGAGCTAAATCTCCCTTCACAGCAAGGTCTAGCAAGGCGTTATTTGACATATTATTTTACCCGAGCATATTTGAAGAGTTTATTCCGAGATGAGATCCAAACCTTGGAGGGAAAAAAAAGTGCTGTGTAGTCCCAGAATTGTTGTTGTATTTAATCAAAACTTGCTATTGGAGGGTGACAGAATTTTAATTAACACCCAAACACATGTTAAAAATAAGTTTCTTTCACAAGGAAAATGTCATTGAGAAAACACATCTGTCTGGTGCTTCTTCACCAGCTCTGCAGCAACACAGCAGACCAGACAAATTATTCAGTGATCAAGCAAATAGTAAAAAATTGCAGCTGTTGGTCTACTTTTAAAGGCATTAACATTAACTTACGCCTACATATACATTTAACATACACGGCTCTGTTGAATGCACTTCCCTTTTTAAGCACTATACATGTGTTGGGGTGTTGTTCCTGTAACATTGCTGTGGTGTTGACAGGCATGACCTTGACACATGACCGCCACCCCTTCGTTCCTACAACAAAACCCATAAATCTCACACAAAACTTTTACTACACAATACTGGAGAAATCAGGTTATATATTTAGTAATTTATATATATATATATATATATTCTTTTTCAGGCTAAGTTAGAAAACTGCAGCAGCACAGCAAAACTGAACAGCTGTTGCCATTTTTAATCATCTGTTAGAATATTTCAAGTTTTTTTTTCACAGAAAATGTATAAAACAAGTGAGGTGGGACTCTTTCCTCCCCTCCCCAAAATCACACAGCTCACAAAAACAGTCTTCTTCCTGAATATTTTTGAATCTGCCAACCTCAATAGGCAGTTCTCAACTATCCAACAAGGGATTTTGGGGTTCTACACTAAGCAAGATGTAATATATGATTCAGGGCCATTCTAAAAAAAAATATGCATGTGTGCCAATGTCTGTCCTTGATAGAATATTTAAAAACAATTTGTCAAGCAAAAATACCAAACTTTAGCCGGTTTCAGCTTTTCTGATACGAGAATGTGCTACTTGTTTAAACCTAACACAAGTAGACTCTGTATGACAAACACAAGCAAACAAGCGAGACGATTGGTTAGTGTATTCTTAAAGCGTTCCACCGAGTCATATTCGCTTTATTCCACTTGAAATCAATGAAACCAGGCTATAGGAAACAATACTGCTTTGGTCTACCAACCAATCAACAAAACAATCATTAAACAATTATTATAATAAATAATTGCTACATGAATTGATCACGATGGCTCTCTGTGAGGCAGGGTGATGGTTTGAGCTTAATGCTAATTAGCATGCTAATATCATCACAATGCTAAAATGCTGATGTTAGGAGGTACAGAACCATATTCACCATACCAGTAGACCATAGATTAGCTAAATAGCTCTAAACACAAAGTACAGCAGAGGCTGATGGGAATTTTATAGAACTGTAGATTATTTGTTATATTAGTATTTGCTCAGTATTATCTTTCTTAAGTAGCCTAACAACAACAACAACAACAACAACATGAACAATAATAGCAACATGATGAATGTAATCTAAAAATAATAACCCTTATTGTGATGATTATCTTCCTCATTGTCATCATTTAGAAGAACAAAATGGTGATTAAAAAGAAAAGAAAAAACACTCTTGACTGCTATTATTCTTGAACTATTCGCCAGTGTATTCATGGTACCAGTGACTGAAATAATAAATTGTTCGGTGACTCATTTGAATTCAGACGGTGGCTGTTTGTGCTCAGTGTGGGAGTGACACAGAGGAGTGATAATAACAAACTGACCTGTAACTCCCTGACTTAAAAGAGCTTGAATGAGGCTTCATTCAGAGCAAAATCAATCTCCTCACTAACTCCGAACTGATGCCCGCGTCTAGGTTGTTTCCCAGACTGCGACTTGAGAGAGCGTCTGGTCAGCGGCAGATAAAGAAGCCTGCGTGGTTGACTGGGAGAAACAAAGGCAGAAGCTGGAGACGGAGCCAGTGAGGGAAGAATAGAGAGAATCAGACAGGAATTGAGTACAGTAGCGTCCGGCGGCCCCGCGGAGAGAATCACCAGTGGCCTGAAGGTCGGCTGATAGATGATGATTGATGGTTGCTATCTGCCCACCAAGCCTGTCCGTGGAGAGGCTGTGAGTGGATACTATCATCAAGTAAACTGACCCTTTCATAAAGCCCTGTACGTGCCCTTTGTGCCCCTTCTGTAATGGCCTGCGTTGTTTGGAAGTGTGTGTCTCTAAAGCTTTACTACATTCACAACCGTATTGGCGCGAGTGCATGCACTCATTTGACTGTCCATTCTTTTATGTCTGTGTTTGTCTCAAGGCATCTTTATGTGTCTGAGGGCGTTTCGATCTTCGTACGCCACCGCCTGCGCGCGCGTTTCTGCTTCTCCGCCTGTGTCTATGTGTGTGTCTCGCCCCCGTGGCGGCGTCTTCTGGCCCTCACAATCCTCAGGAGAGGGTGGTGTCATTTTTCACAGTGACAGGCAGTGGCCCACGCAGGGTGGCCCCGGGTCTCCAGACTAATAGTGTCTGGCCAGAGTCTCTGTCCTGCTTCTTCTTCTTCTTCGTCTTCACTTCCACCGACCACCGACCACGGTCCCTGCAGGAGCCAAGACAGAGAAATGGCCTTGGCAGAGACTCAGTCTGCTTGAGGCACACTGAGGAGGATCGTACTCCCAGTTGGGCTGAGAAATGGCCGAGGCAGAGAGATAGGCATGCTAAAACAAAATTTAATTGGTTTACTGCTTACATGGATCAAGGGTTTGCACATTTATTCAGATCAACGAGTTGGTTTAATCAAAGGGCACTATAACATCTGAGTGATTTAAAAATCTAACTGGAACAATCCTGTTAAGCTCCTTACTTTCATGCACCCCGTTTAGGCCTTCACTGCAAGTTTTAATGCCGTGACAAAAACCACTATTGTGTTGTCTCTGTGTCCTTTTTAGCTCCACTTCAAAGAGCCTTGACGCCCATTGCTCCCTATGGAGAAATGTTCCTGTACAACAATCCTGAAAACACTCCGGTAAGACAGCGTACACTCCCACTAGTGGACAGTGAGTAGCAGCTCACCAAAGAGGAACAGACATTTCTCAGATCTTCAACACTATCAACGTTGTTTCAGCCACAGTCCGCACACCAGACTTCCCTCTCGGTGTTAATGCTGTCACCATGGACACGTACCAGAGTGGAAAATGTGCTTGTTTCAGTTTGCCCTCTGAGGTTAATGGAAATGTCACCTAGCCACTAAAGTTAACATAGCTTAGTGCAACAACATGATCACAGTGTCTGACTGAAAGATGGACACTTTCTTTTCATCTGATGCTAATCTCTCCTGTGCTCTGTAGGACCAAGGCGCTAAAGAAGGGTTACATAAGGGTTTTAAGGACAAGATAAAAAAGAAGAAACAGAGGTACGGTATGCTGATACTCTGAATGTATAAATAGAAATTCAAGTGCTCAGAAAGAGAACTACTGACCACTCACTCACGTTTTTGTGTGTGGTGTTGCACATTGGATACACTGATAAGATTTTATCCTGTTCTGCAGCTGCGTTCTCGAAACCACATTGAATTCTCCAGCCAAGTAATTATTTTATCTACTCATGCAAGTCAGTTTGGTGTTTTTTAAACAGAGTAGTGCTGAATATTCAGATGCAGATTTGTGGTTTAAAAAGATGTAGCCACAATATAGATGCAATGTTTAGACTGATTTATGAATCATAAATATAAGACAGTAGTCAGGGTGATAAAAATCACCTTGACTAATAGATTAATTTAGATTATAATGCCAATTATGGAGCTGTAGTAGGAGGAGGATATCAGCTGAGCTCAGCATGAAGACTGCAGGCTTGGGAAAACGGCTAGCATGACTTAGTCCGAAGTTCAAAAGTGAGTGACTTCCTGGAGTTAAAAAAAAACCCTCCAACATGGGTTTTTTGCATTTCAGTTTATGTGTGACTTAGACAACTAAAATTAGAACTTTGGATGGAGTCAGGCTGCCATAACTTACCATGTTTACTGTCTTTATGTTAAGCTAGGCTAATCACCTCGTTGCTTTAGCTCCATAACTGACCACTGACTGATCTTCTCATCTAACTCTTGGCAGAAATGTGAATAATAAATAAAATAAAAAAATAAAATTTGGAACAAATCTCCAGTGCCTGGCTTTTGGCCCACAGTTATATTATAATATGTTTTAACAGAAATTAAGATTTGATTGATTGTTTAATTAATATATACACATATTGTCACCCTAAAGGAGTAGTTTGAGATTTTAGGAACATATCCTTATTTGCTTTTTCCGATATTTAGATCAAGATCATAAAGACTGCAAGCCAGGTGGAAGGGCTAGCTTGGCTCTTTGCGAAATGTTCAATAAACTTCTAAATTTGAAGTAGGGCTATATATATTGTTTGTTTGAGGTACACCCAAACAGAAATGTAACATACCATCATGTTATGATTTAACTATTTCCTGACCAGGTTCAGTGACTTCCTGTTGCCACTGGGCAATAAATAGTTACAGCATGCACCATACACCACATAAAACCAAAATCTGTCCTTGAATTAGCTTAAATGGTGCTAGTAGGCAACAGTTGCTGTTTCTCCCTGCTCCCAGGCTTTATGCTAACTTAAGCTCATTGCTTCCTGACTTTAGCTACATAATTAACATTTTAAGTGTCATACCTAAAATTCTGAACTGTTCCTTTAACGTCATTGACGCTCCTACAGAAAAAAGGTGTCCAAACCGAAAGAGCTAAAGGAGAAAGGGTCTCCTCCTGCTCCTCCGACTATCCCCGACCCCTACAAAGACGAATACTCAACGGTGGACGAGTGTGCCACCATTTTGCCGCAAGCCGGTTTGGACCAAAGCTTTGCAGTGGCTCCTGGGGGCCTTGATGTTGGATCAGCTGCCTCTGGCCCTAAGGACGAGTCTCTAATCATGGTGGAGTGTGACCTCTACTCGGAGCCTGCAGAGGCTCTGGGCGGTGAGGCCAGAAATGCACTGCCTGATATTTCTCCATACGCATGCTTCTATGGAGCCCCCAAAAACCAGGTGCTCAAAGTGGGTTGGCTGGACAAACTGTCGCCACAAGGGTAGGTTACAGGTGATGATGGTGCTTAGAGACATTATGAGACATTAGAAAGTCTTCTCTATCTGATATAAAAATACATGGAGCTGCATGAGACTCTGGTGAATGCCAGTTTTACTGCAGCTCCACATTGCAGAGGGCAATGCTATTCTTATTTTCACAACCTTTCACCTCCATAACCCAAAATGTGCCTCAAGGCCACTTCCTGGCAAGTGGCAAGTTAAGTCACCACAGTACTCCAACCACTGCTTCCTGTTTCGTTGCAGACCTTTTTCATTCTGCTCTATTTTCTGCTTACCCTTTTATCTTTGATGACTATTCAGAACTGATAAAGGGTATTAGAAACGGGAGCCTGAAGCAGATCTATCCATAATGCAGTGCGCAGTCGAAAGGAAAGGAGAGAGAATTGGAGATAACCTTGTAGTATTAAGGCGCACAATGTGTTTGCTTTCACTTAGTTTGGCTTTTTCTGGCAAAATTACATTTTCTTTTCCAGAGTCTCTTGGTGCCACCCAAGCTATCAATCATTTACTTCCTTGTTATATTCTCCTTCACCACAGAATATTCATAGGTTTGGCAAACTGCCCTTGGGCTGTTAAATATTTAAACTGAACGTGGCCATTTGTTTTGATTATGGTAATTGACAGCTGTTGATACAACTCTTGACATTAATGAATCAATGGCACTCTTGATGAAATATGAGGAGCTGTTCAGGGCAGATTTAGTTACTGGCTTACTTTGTGACAGTTATTTATTTCATTTTTTTTTTTTAGAGCTGCAACGATTAGTTGATTAATCAATTAGTTGTCAACCATTAAATTAATCGCCAGCTATTTTGACAGTCGTTTTGAATCATTTATTAGGTAAAAAATGTATGATTTTAGCTTCTCAAAAGTGAATGTTTTTTTTGTGTCTTTAGTCCTCTATATCTATAAACTAAATATCTTTCACCCTTTTCTGACATTTCATGGACCGAACAACTACTTGATTCATTGAGAAAATGACTGACAGACGAATTAATAATAAAAATAATCGTTAGTTGCAGCCCTGTTTTGCGGCCACTGTTTTTGTATTTGACTTAAAACTAGCTTAGTTTGGTTGAATGAGCCAGATGGATTGAATTTGCGCCTCTTCTTCACCTTGCAGAAAGTGTGTTTTTCAGAGGAGGTGGGTCAGATTTGACGGCGAGAGCCTTGCCTACTACAACAATGACAAGGTAAGTTCGAGAAAAACACATGCACGTCCACACATCCCCTCCCCTCCTCCCGCTTCCTGCTGACACACCCACACCCTCCGCACGCACACTGGCAATTTCATTCCTCCGTTGCAGAAATCCATACCACCAGCTGCTGAGCCAAGTTCTAAGTGTTCCCTTCTCTTTCTCCTCCTCCTCTTTCTCATTGTCATCATCATCATCATTAGCTTGGCAGGGTAAAGAATGGGGGCAAGGACAGAGCGACATTACGCCATGCGTGACAGGCCAGCACTCTCTGTGCCCGCCCAGCCATAGAGTAAAGTACATTGATGTTGGCACCTGACCAGTTCCCCGAGAAAGAAAGGAGGAGTGGGGAAAGGGGAGGGAGAGGGAAGACTCTCCTCCTCTCTTTTTTGCTTCCCTCAGCATTCCTCCCTCCCCTGTACCTCTCTTCATTCTCCTTTTTGTCTGACAGCTGAGTTTGAAATTTCGCTTAGCACTGCCTGCCTTGTGATCAGAGAGAGGGAAGGATGGAGGAGGAGGAAGAGAAAGGGTGAGGGTGTGGGGGGGGGGTGAGAGTACGGGGGTTGAAAAGGTAGAAACTGGAGAGGAGGCAGATGAAGATGCATGCAAAGATGGCAGCTTAACCGCCACCTGTTTAGTCTAGACACAGTTTTTCTTGAATGTCACAAACTTTCTGGATTGTGGAAACATTTAGAAGTTAAATTCGTAAATGTTTTGCAGAGGACACACATGGTACTTTACGTGACCATGTGTGTCCTTTGGAACTTGCATGCTGTTCAGTACTTTCTTTTTGAATTCTTTTTTTTACATTTTTAAATGACCATATGTGTGATTTTGCAACAATCTACTACACTTAACATAAGTGTAGTAGATTTATTTTTTATTATTTAGATGTAGTAGATAATACACATACATTTTGTATGTGTATGTATCTAATACAGTAAATATTGAGGCTGCATTAGTGTTTTTCCAACATTACATTATTGTTGTGAGGTGATTAGGGTGGGGTAATGTTTAAAATGCTATTTGGTGCCATTCACTCATTACTACTGACATTGATTTTGACGTCCACAGTGTTTAAAATCATCCTTCTACAATATCTGCGTATGGCAACTACAGCAAGTGTTTTAACCTTTAATATCATGTAGCAAAATATGCCAAGCTGCTCAACGCATCATTATTAAATAAACATCTACCTGAATAAAATATAACCCGAAATTGGAAAAAATCTGGCCAAGTTCTCTGTGCCAACTTCTGATACTTGACTCTTTTCAATACTTAATGCTACGGATCCATTTTAGTCTGCACTCCAAGACTATTGAACTTCACTACCCAGCCCTGGAGGTAAGGCAGTGCAGGCTTTGCTAATCAATCTGAACATAAACCGAATTATCACGCAACAATGATGTAACTCTGACAAACAGAGAGCAGATTGTAGATATGGTAAACATAATGTTTTCGGTGATCAATTACACCACTAAAGTACATTTCAGAAATCTGCTAACTGATTTTACACCAAACAGAAAGGAAAACAACAGACATGAATAGCTTCCTTTGGCTTAGAAAAACATTAAAATCAGTTGAAAGCAGAGATGTGAAGTATACATTATTTGGATTTGAGGTGTTAAAAACTTGTATAAACCCTGGTATTTTTCTTTAAAAAAAAGACCTTTAATACATGAATTCTGTTAACTGAGTCTCTAGCGGCCATAACCTACCTGACTTAATGTGCTTTACCTTCATGTTCTCGCTAATGACCATTGGATGTATCTTGGACTAAGAACAAACACATTTCTGTGTGTGTGTGAGTGTGTGTGTGTGTGTGTGTGTGGTGTGTGTAGTGTGTGTCAGTGTGTGGTGTGTGTGTGTGTGTGAGTGTGTGTGAGTGTGTGTGTGTGTGTGTGTGAGCGGTGACCTCAGCGCCCCTTCCCAGGGCCGGCTCGTTTTTGCTGCAGCAGTATTGCACAACAACACAATCAATGATGTGGGACCTGTCTGATGCCGGCTCGTTAATCACTTACTAATTATAGCCCGCCATGCTCTCTCGCTCCCTCTGCCTCTCTCTCATTCCCCCCTCGTTTTCTCTTTCCATTGCATTTGTTGCTTTATTTATCAGGACACGCTCTGTCGCCGGCAGAGTGGGAATCGGCAGGGAGGCCGGCGAGTCAGCACTTTATACTCCGTGTCACTGTCGGTGTAGGCACGGCAGTTTTTTGGGAAGATGAAAGTTTGCCTGTGTGTGTGTGTGTGTGTGTGTGTGTGTGTGTGATAGAGGGAACAGGGATTGTTGTTTAGACTTTTTAAAGTCATCCTGCCAATGTGACTCTCCCCTCTGAGAAAACGGAGGGCTTCATCATGTTTTGGGTGAGCGGAGAGGTCGAGTACAATCTCTCTGTCATCCCTGCTTTGTGAGGCCAGCTGAGGCCCCCGTACCACCCTGCGCCGCCACCCACTGCCACCTCCGCAGGCTGAGCGTGGGGGTAGAAGAAGATTGCACGGGCAGAGAGGAAGTCTCTCAGCATCGCTTTATGTCAGAAATTGAAATATGAGTTGATGGTTTGCTTTCCCTCACTGTGCAGAAACATGAGTGTGTGTGCTATAATACCTAGTGCAGACTTCAAATTGCTATACTGCTCATTTTTTAGCCCACATTGTTGTGGTGTTGACGTAGGGGTGCAAACCTACGCTATTGATCTCAGACCATAAGTCCATTGATTATAGGATTACTCCATTTGAAGGAATACTATTCATCTTCAGTCCCCCAGGTGCTCTAAGAGGCCAAAACTTGCTCCAACAGTTTGTTGTATCACACATCAGTTTACATACATCAGTATAAAAACAACTGAAATGAATTCTAATTAAACTCAGCTGACTCTGACTTTATCGTATCATGTATACATGTAATTCTGAGGCTGTACTTTAGCACATTTGAGCTAAATACTAATGTCACAGTGCTACAATAACATGTCTACAATGAAGACTAACGTTTACATACAGCTGAGAATGATAATAATGTAAGGTTTTTTAGATAATTGGTCAAAAGCCAAAGAATTGTGGAACTATAATTTTAAACAAAAATACATCCTTTCAGTTCATTAGCAATAAAATACAACCTTGCTTCTTTCGGTACATACAGGGGTTTAGCTGCTGCATCCTTACTTGGTCTGTTATGATCAGTAGCTAATGGTGGCTAATGCTAGCTAACGTCATATAGATAGTGCTCTGTAACTTACGGGACTGAGCCAATTCAAGATGGCCACAGTGTTGCTGTTGAGAAAAAGTCGCATATAGCCTCGCTTTAAAATTTAAACCTAATGATAGAGCTAGAGGAAAAGTCAGATGATCACCAAAATTATGATATAGTTCTCCCAAAAAAGTAGCTAAATGAGCTTTTTAGCGTCACCAAGAAAACGTTTGTAGCATTTTTGAAGCTCAAGGGCAAAAGTATAGAATCCATTTGGACTTGAAGCCTTTTGTCTCAAATCTTAAAAGACTGTGCAATGTGCACTTGACTTCAGTTTGGACTGCAAGTAATCAAGACTGATTGGTTTGATCAGCTTATCATGTTGTCCAATCTGCCTGTACACAAAAAAAAAAAAAAAAAGCCTACACACTGAAACATTCCCATGCTTGTTCTCTTTTCTCAAACTTTCAACACCCCCAAAACTCTTTTTGTAGTTCAAACCCCTCTGGGATCTGTCAGCCCCAGACAGAACTAATCGCACTTAATCACAGTCACAGCTTGAAGGTCTCTGGCCGCGGTGATGTCATCATCGGGGTAGCGGAGGTGGCGTGGGAGAGTAGCGAGATCCTCGGTCTCACTTCTCCCTCTCTGCAGCGTTGTATCCAATCCGTCTCATCAATCACCCCTTTCGCCTGATTTCGTCAACACTGGGATTGACTTGGGAGAACGCTTTGGTCCTGAGATGGAGTCTTCAGGGTTCCGATGTGGTGTCTTGTCTGTCTGTCGGTCTGTGTGTGTGTGTGTGTGTGTCTGTGTGTCTGTGTCTGTGTGTGTGTGTGTGTGTGTGTGTGTGTGTGTGTGTGTGTGTGTGTGTGTGTGTGTGTGTGTGTTTGTGAAAACTGTCCAAAGCCTGGCTTCAGGGTAGTGAGGGGAGGAACAGAGGAGGGTGGCTGGGAGGGATGAAGGGATGAGAAGATGGGGGAAGGGGGTGAGGCTGAATAAAAGGCCAAAGGGGAGATGAGGTTTTAGGATCGGGGATCAGTCTTTGAGTGTATCAGTCTCCCTGATTGTCTGTCTGTCTGTCTGTCTATCTGTCTGACTGACGCTGCAAAGCTCTGTCTTGCCAAGCCTGACAGCTTCTCTGCTTACTCCCTTTGGTGCCTTCCCAAGATGCCCCTAGCTGACGCTTACTGTAACACCCCAAGTGTTTTTCATATTCTTTTATTTATCCTTGGTTTCATTTTGATCACCAGAACCCAAAGTATGTGATACCCTCAGTAGAATCCGCAGAGAATTTATCTTAATTTTCATTCACGGTTTCGTACATTTCCAGGTGTTTATTTTCATATGCGTTCCGCGGCCTGGTTATATTCTGATATCCAAGAATTCTTAATTATACAGAGAGTCTTTTAAGAATAGATGTAATTTTAATTCACCTCAAGGTAGATTCAGAAACTTGAATATAAGGCGATAGTTTTAAAGCTGCATTGATCAACTGAATATGTAGTGAAAAGTGAAAGTTGGTGCTTATAGTGGCGCATCCACAGAGAATTATCACCGGATGTTGCAGTTTCCCTCGAATCTACAGAGTAGTTTTGTTGCTTCTTTCAGTTCATTGTTTTGGTATTCTTTTCTGGCCCTCAACTTTTTTAAACTTTAAGTAAAACGCCATAGAAACTTGTATGCTACCTGCCCAGCACCAGTTGGCTGACAGATTAGCCTCTGGCCAACATAGAGGAGCATTTAGCAGCTAAGGAGGCAGGTATTTCCCTCAGGAGTTGGTAGAGACCAAAAACTGAGCTAAAAGGAGATTTAATGTTGGACTTAGAATCATCAGGTGAACACAGACATGACTTCAAATGAATGCTAATGTTGCTCCATGTCTGCTAGATGTGGAAAAAAGCTACTGTACATAAGGAGATAATATGTTGTTGTGTAGGTTTTGTTGTTGTGTTTATTACACTGGCATAGCTTTAAGCATAGACTTGATTCTTTGACTTGAACCGAACTTAGGCCGGAGATATACTTGCACATGATGGCTGCCTTGCGTATCCTGTGTCAGTTTAGACCTTTGGTTGTGTACCTCCTTAAAAAGCAAGTTTATCTCTGGCTGTACAGGACCAGTGTGTAGGATTTGGTGGCATCTAGTGGTGAAGTTGCAGACTACAACCAACTGAATGCCTTCTTAGCATGTAGGCGAATGAACGGAGGTGAATAGCTCTATCATTAGTCGGTGTTGGGTTTGTCCATTCTGGACTTCTGTAGAAACACCTCAAAATCTTGTAACGGTAAAAAATAAATAAGGCAAATAAACCAGGTTGTATTTGCATTGACACAATTTTTTATTATTTGACTTAAATTAATAGGTTAATGTAGACATTTTTGAGTCAGGTTTGATAAACTACCAACAATATTCTGTAAAAAAAACATTCAAATGGTCAGCATTCAGAGACCTGGAAGTTTTGCAGCTGTCTCACTTTATGAAGTCTTGTTGCTTAACTTGGACTTGCCTCAAAACAGCTCTGCATGGGATTAACATCTCTAAAATCATTAAGGCACCCCGCTTGGTGAAGCAATGAGTAAGGATGCAGTATTGCCCACAAGCCTCGTCTCAAAGGTGCAGTTTCCTGCTGCCACCAGTCGGTGTCCTCATACCTCCATTGAAAATTTCACCGCTTTTGGAAATGCCAGAACCTTAACTCCATGCTTGGTGGTAAAACCTCTTTCCACCCTCTTTTACCCTCCTCCCTGCTTTCCCCACATGGCGCCTCCATTATTGTGGGCTTTAGCTCGATTGCTCTGCCTTAATTGTTTCCTGAAGTTTTACCGGGTTGTTTTCGAGACGTAGAGAGACACAGTCATCCACACAGGATAGGCAGTTTCTACAAAGGGGACCAAAAAAAAAAAAAAAACCCACAAGAAGTGACATAGGTTGACAAATGTTGGGTGGCTAGAGTGAGTGGACGTGGGAGTGAGAGAGTTTAGAGTGGGAGGTGGGGGTGAAAGGAGGAGGCCGGAGTGAGGGGGAAATGAGTGTGGAGAAGATGTTTGGTAGAGGGAGGCGAGTCAGGTGTGTCTGTTATTGGAGAAAGAGAGATAGTTAGGCCTCATTGAATCCTTGGCAGTCCTTCCTCTTGAGATTAGTCTGTAAACATTGTTTTGTGTGTGTGTGTGTGTGTGTGTGTGTGTGTGTGTGTGTGTGTCTGCGGGCGGGTGGGCTGCAACGAGCGGTGTCGCGGCCTGATTCCACCGTCTCAACGCTGACCTCTTCTTTTCACCATCTCTCCGCTGACTCCGCCGTTGGGGTATTTACAGATGCACAACTCAGCAATTAAACAACTCTCTCCTTCATGACCCCAAAACTAGAATTAAAACAATTAATTACCGTTAACCCATACTTGGGGTGTAATTATTGGCGCCAAGCTAATTCATCCACACACACACACACACATACACGCACGCACACATGCACTTAGTTTCTCCTTTCCTCACCTTCCTTTTAACTTCTGTCTAAATTTAGAGAGAGAAAGAGGGAGATATCGGTGTGAGACTCCTGGGGAGAGAAATGCACAAGGCTGGCTGTCGGTAATTAGGTTGAGCCACTTCTTGCCATTGTTAACATCCTGCTTTAATATGAGAAGGACCCCTCCCTGACCCTCTCAGGCGTCTTCATTTCGACATGATGTCTATCTTTCCCACATGCCTCCCTTCTTTTTTTCTTTTCTTCTTTCTCTTCTTGATTATGGAATTCCACTGTTGCCTCTTCTTCTGTTTTTATCTTTCCTCCTTTGTGTCCCTTCCCGCTCTTTCCATTTTCTTCCTCTCAGTCCTCTCCTTGGCCTTTCACACAAACCTAATTTCTCTCTTCTTTTTTTTTTTTTTTTTTGAATTTTATGCTCCCTCCATCCATCCATCCCTCCCTGCACCCACCCTCCCCTCGCTCTCCCTAACCGACTGTGCCGGCTGGTATATTTTTGGCTGCGTGGTCTCTAGAAATAGGCTTTTGTGGATGGCAAGGTCACTCGGCTTAATTAAGAATGGCGAGTGGGAGTCAGAAGTTCACTTCCTTTTCTTCCTCTATTCATCCTCCCTTCGCACTCTGCATCTTCGCAGAATGCGACGGCGGCGGTACAGTAGAACGAACGTACAGTAATTGCGCATGGCAATCACCCACAAGCCATTACATCGCGCACAGGACTGCAGAGAATCAAAATTCAGGTCAAGCCCGTTGAAGAGCGACAGAGAGAAAGAGAGAGACATGGTTTTTTTTTTTTTCATACTTTGCAATGATAATGACATTATCGACATGAATAATGCAATGTCTGCAACGACCCCCTTTTCTTTTTTTTTATAACCCAGTGATTTTCACGCCGCTACCGAAGCGTAATGTGCTGTCCTCCAGTTCACTCTATTGCGAGAACATTACAATCTGAGATGTTCTTGGCTTTTTCCAACTACTTTAAGGGCATCTCTCTGTTATACTCTCCACATCGTGGATTGAATACTGATTCGATGGCGGGACCATTCTGTCCTCGCTTCTTTAGAAGTGATAATATTGATGTCTGATTCCTTTTTTTTTTTTCTTTTCGCTTATTCTGTCTCCTTTTCATATTGACAATGACCCAGTACTTTAATTGCCATTGTCAAGGGAGACTGTAAAGAGGGTCATGAAGCCTCCAGTGCATCATCCTCCTTATTTGGATGCCTCCACTGGAGCTGCTTTGGGAAAACATGGGGGTAATGAAACAATACACACACAATCCAACCCAATCCCACTTTACCCAACAAGCACTTCCTGTGCTTCACCCAAATCCCCAGTACAGCGTGCCTGTGTCTTTGTAAGTTTGTTTTCTGCTTGTATATTTGTCTCCTAACACCCAAATGACAGCACTCTGAGTGTTATTCTTGTGTTTGGGGCTTCTTCAGTGCAACGTTAATTCACTTTTTGGGCCGTTTCCTGCACCTCCATTTCAAAATTGCACATATTTCAAGCCTGTAATTTGAATTATTTGTGTTCATGTCAAAGATTGCATCAATGCAAATTTGTCCTGGCTTGCTTAACAACTCGTACGAAAACATATAGTATGAGTTTCCTGTTTGTTTTCCTGCAAGCAGCTTTTTGATTGAAATGCTTCTTGTCCAAGAGCCTCCTTGCCATTTATCAAAGTTATTGCTTGAAAGGGAACGGGGAAGCTATTTCTGCAAATAAATTTGACGCTGTATTGATGGGTTATGGCTCGAGTTTGATGAGGATGTCTGTCAGTGGTGTTTCAGATTGAATGCGATCTCAGCCGGCGGTAATACAACTCAGAATTACACATCTATTGATGCAAACAATGCGCTGGAAAACAGTAATTGCGGCTCTACAGATGCAGATAATAGGAATAAGCAACAATTCGATAACATTATTAGCATGCATGAAGCTGCGCAGTGTGTCAGCTTTGTGTTCATACACCTATTTGGTGTGTGTTTTGGCAGCGCTCTTATCTGTCTGTTTGTGTGTCCCCCTCTGTGTTTAGGAGATGTACTCCAAAGGTATGATCCTGGCCAGCGCCATCAGACAGGTGCGAGGGCTCGGTGACAACAAGTTTGAGGTAGTCACCTCCCTTCGGACCTTCATATTCCGGGCTGAAAGAGAAGGTACGACAAGTGCATCCTTCACCTTTTCTTTTTGTTCTGCCTTTCGTCGTCATCTATCAGCCGCTCATTCTGTTCTCTCTGCTTGTCAGTCGGCCTCTGTCGCTCTGACCGTCTGATTCCCTGTCTGGCCTTGTTTTTCTCTCTCGTTTTCCCCTGTCCCCCCTCCTGCTTCCCTCTCTGTTTGTCTGTTTCCCGTCTCTCTCATTCTTACTTCACTCTCTCTAAATGTCTCTGAGGTAATCTTCTGTCTCACTTCTTTCTCTCAAGTTGTGTCTTTTTCTCCACTTGCACTTTTCTCTCTGTCATTTTCCCTTTTTCCTGATACCCGCTCTTTAAGGACATTTTCAGTGTGATTAGAGGTTCTGCATCAGTATCAAAATCATTTTTGCAAGATGGCCATATGTAAAGAAATATCTGCATTTTGGGAAATGTGCTTTCTTTCAGAGCGTGATATGAGAAGATCAATCTCATGTCGGTGTGTTAAGTGCAAAGTTGGGTTGTTTAGCCTGGCTTAGCATAAAAATTTAAGATGGCTCCGTCTGAATAATAAAGAAATGCAGCTTCCAAAAGCATGAACAATTTATTGTGAGAGTTTGTAGTTTTAGGGGGAGTTGTGTGCTAAAGTATTAACTAGCAAACAACATCTGGGTGTAGTGACTTTGTGCGTAATCAGACATTTACACATTCTTCTTGATCGCCACTCTCGTGTCTGTGTGCTAAATATGATGCTACGGCCAGCAACCGCTTAGCTTAGCTTACCATTAAGACTGGAAATAACAAAACAGCTAGCCTAGCTCTAAAGCTTACTAATTAACCCGGTATATCTAATTTGTTTCAATCCCTGTTACAATTTCTGTTTAATCTAATGTGCGTTAAATTCAGAGCTGGATTCAGGACCCGCCAAGCGTAAAGACTGGAGGAAGACCGCGCTGACATGGCTAGTCTCGCTCTGTCAAAAGTTAAAAGTACACCCAACATCTCCAAAACTGACTAATGACCATGTTTCTTTTTTTAGCATGTACAGAACAAAAATTTAAGATGATAGCTTAAGAAGAGTTAGTAGGCTTGTTATTTAACTTTGGGCCGAGGCTAGTTGGGGGATCGGTTGGGTACAGTGGTGCTTTGGGAGATCTTGGTGGCAGTAATGACTTCATGTCCCTTTCTGAACCTGCGTTGTTCTGTCAGTCTAAAGGGGCAGAATGTGTAAAAGAAATGAACAAATTCTCAAATCTCAGCGGAACCATCGTTTAATAGTCTCGTTCCTCCTTCCCCTCTTCATCCCTCTGTCAGACAAAACGAAGTAAGACTCGTCTCTTCTTATCGTCTTTCAGCTGGAAGCTTTGTCTGTGTCGGCCTTAATGAGAGGGGAAAGAGACACTTCCTGCTCCTTACCTCCTGCCTGCCTGATGGCAGTCCATTAGGCAGCTCAGGTCAAACTGCTCATTCGCTAATCGAGGGTCCGTTGCTAGGGTCAGACGCCGAACGCCCTTTGATTCAGGCGGATGAGTGAGATTGGAGGAACGTGAGTTTTGCATGGTTGTGGCGTTGAGAACCTTTGACTCATTGCGTGGTACAGGGTGAATATTTGAGAACATGGTTGAACTGAAAGATCTTTATTGACCAGATCATTGAGACCTAAATGCAAGTTATTGATATATTGACATCTGTTGGGCTAGGAACAGAAGGATCAATATTTGACCTTGTGATTATAGGCATTGAGTATTTGCTTATTGCTATTGATTAGTTCAACTGGTCATTTCTTATTCAATGCTCGGTTAGAAATTCGTCAGAAAAATGTATAGATAATATGTTAATGTGAAGCTGTTTCCTCGCCCAAAGCTGCAAAAAAACAAATCGATCACAGCTTAAAGATGTACATTATTTACCCTTACTTTACTTATTTTTATAAGAGCATTGCATTATATACGTTTGCAGCACCACTTAAGTCAGAAAACAGCCATTCTAGACAGAAGTGGATGTATTTGATACAATCTAAAAACCATGGATTTAAGTTATTGCTTTGTGGCGTACTAACTAACTACATGTATGTATGGTCAGCAGCAATTTCATGTTCTCGTAACTACAGTGGTGGAAAGTAACAAGTACATTTACTCCAGTTCTGTACTTACTGTACTGTAACATCTTGTGGTACTTGAGCATCTCCATTTTCTGCTTCTTTGTACTTCTACTCGATGACATTTATTTCATACCTTCAGTTACTTTGCAGATTTCGATTAATAATACACAGTATAATCAACAAATGAATAATGATGTATTATACATTATGGCATACTCATAAATTACCTGGCAGTTTATAGAGTGAAAAATAAGCTGCACCTTTACCAGTAGCAACAAATGGGCTGTTCTGCATAATGAGTACTTTGGTACTTTAAAGGTACACTGTGTAGGATTTAGTGTTATCTAGCAGTGTCATTCCAGTGTTCGGTGGATAATTCAGATTTGTTTTACTACATGGTCCTGCGACCTACCAGCACCTGACTGTTGTTGGCAGTTCATGGGGAGTTTTGTGTACAATTCCTATATTTAGGTGATTATACACTACAGTGGCTGATAATAGCTAATAGAACCCCCTATGTTACACACTGTACCTATTAAGTATATTTTGATGTTGGTACTTTCACTTAAGTAAATGTATTGCAAGACTTTTACTGACAAAGTAGTGAAGTAACACATCTGAGTACTTCTTCCACTACAGTCTAACTACACCTTAAACTTCTGTACTTGATTCTTCTACTACAGTGATTCTCACACTTTTTCACATTAAGGACCCCTAAACTGAGACAAATTAGACCACGGACCCCCGTTTTATACGATTTTGTCCCAGGGTCCCCCATCGGATAGGACTATTAGATGTTTTACAAAGAAAGTATATGAAATCCATGACCAAAATAGTCATACTTTCTGTCATTGTGTTGCTTATGGACAGAATTATAGTGAAGGTTTTTCCTAGGGACCCCCTGGGGCTCCCAACACCCCACTTTTATTGTTTAGGTCAATAAATAGAGGAAAACCTATAATCTCCTTAACGGTTAATAACAAACACGCAACACTTTCTATCATCTCATGCATACACTGAATTACAGCCTTTTTTTATGCGTGTTTGTCATCAACCTCATTTGTTATCATACAGACAAAAAATTCCATTGGATCTCACTTTCAAACTATTTTGCATCACCTCTGCTTTACAAAGCAACATAGCCAACAATTTTAAGCCCTTTTAAACTTTTTTCCCATCTATTTTCACCACACTGAACACCAGCCACCCTCCCTCCTCTCCCCACTGATCCAGTGCATCATCATATCGATGACTGCCAGCTTTTTTTGTCTGCTTATGAGTTGCGGGTCCTCAGCAGCAGCATTTATCACACTGTCTGCTAGCTGATCGTCATACGTCACGCTCAGCTGTCGTGACGCGAGCCGGAAGGGGGTGGGGGGGTGGAGAAGGCTGTCTGATTTGGAGGTGGCCTCTGACTGCCTGGGATCGGTGGGAAGCCTCTCGCAGAGGTGGCTGCTGCTGTCAGAAAAGAAAGAGTTCGGGGGGAGAGAAGAGAGAGGGAGGGAGAGAGAGGAAGAGTTAGGAGAAAACTTGGCCTCATCACCTCATGCATCTTTAAACAGGCCCACTCGCCTTGTGGCGGAGAGTCATCAATCTTAGGGGAAACACATGAGAAAGAGGGAGACAGAAGGAGACAGAAGGGAAAGAAGGAGTAGGTTAGTGAAGTGGAGGTAAGGAGCTGCTGGGCTGATGCTATAGAGGTGAGAAGGGGGGGTGGGAGAAAATGGGGGAGTGATGGTCAGAGGAGTGGGCGAGAGTGTTAAAGGCGTCCAGCAGGGATTATTAGAAGAAGGGGGATAGGAAAAACAAGGCAGAGGAAGGGCTTAAATGAGGGAATAACAGGGACGGAGAGAGGCAGACACGCAATCTCGGTGCGAAAAGGCAACAGAGAGGTAAAGGCGGGAGACGGCAGGGGGAGATGAAAAGGGCAGAGTGAAGATGGAGAGAGGGGAAAGGAGGAGGGAGAAGTGAGTGAATAATTGAAGGCCACCGGAGAGAGTGTGCACACAGCTGTCGGCTGATTCTCCACTTGGTCCGCAGGTGGCCTCTTCCCTCAGGTACTGTCAGCTTGAGAGAGGAGAGATGGAAGGAGGAAGGAAGGCAGGCAGGGGGAGAGAAGGGGAGAAAACGGGAGAGGGAGGGGAGGGAGTGATGCGGAGAGTAGTGGCAGCGAGGGGGAGGAAAGGAGAGTTTGGCAGGAAGAGACACGGCGGAGAGTGATGGAAAACGGTCAGGACAGGGAGGAGAGGTGTGGAAGGGATGCAGACAAATACGCTACAAGGGAGAAGATGGGATTTATGGTGTAAAGAAATGTTGATGATTTGTATTCTGATGCTTTGGCAATTGCCTTTCTACAAGCCTGCTCCTAACACGTGTTGGTTTTGTTTGAGATGACAGCAAAGAGAGTTAGAGAAAGATGTAGAGAATAAGTTGGGAGAACAACAGAATGGTTGGGAACAGGCCAGAGAGAGAATGATGGCAGAAATATAAACTCCCGAGGACATAGAGTGGGAGTAAAATTGTATAAACTGTAGTGCATATTTCACTTTGCATTATTTTACTACCCAGTGGTTGGTTTTAGTTTTCCCCCTTTCTTTAAACTTGCATTGATTTATTTGAGCACAGGGTTGTGTTTATGTCTGCCTGATGAATGTACGTCCAACATTCACTCTCCTTTTTTTTGCTTTGTTTTGGTCTCCAAAAGGAAAATGTTGGACTCGTAAACATCTAACTGCTCTTCTGTTTTCATTAGCTAGCCACTGACTTTGTCTGCTGTTTTCAGGCAGTATGCAGCGGGTTTCTCAAAAAAAATTTCACAAACGCTCTTTAGACTTGCGATAAGATGATAATTCTCTGTGGCTTTGTCACTGTGAGTGACACACAAAGTAAGTTTTCTCATTGGAAATATAAAACATGAATTAGT